GCCTATCTACCATGAAAATATGAGCGAAATCGAATTTTCGACCCTTGCCACGAAATTAAGAATTTGTCTGATTTTTACAGGCAGGCACTCTTAAGTGTTATATATAAATAATAGCCTCCATTTGGCGGGGAAATATGCGTGGATATTTGTCCACGGACATTAGGGAGTTTAAGTAACCACAACGGCGATGCTGAGGACAACGTCAATTAAAAAATTACTTTATATTTTACCTATGAAACTCGCGATATCCTAAAGTCATTTACTTTGTTTATCACTGACAAAACTTTCACGAAACTGAATGTAGGACACAGCGATAAACTTGAAAGAAACATTTAAAAAATTAGTCGTTGTGGTTCACGTTCTCCAGACAATGCAGGATTTGGTCATTTCACGTTTTTGTTTTGCAGAGGATGGTAAAGAAATGTACCAAGAATTATAACGCACACGCACAGCCATTGTTCTCTTAATTAAATCTCCTGTTTAGCGACGTTCCCATTGCCCTTGCCGTCATAGTTTTCTTAAACTCCCTATTATCTGTTCCAAGAAGCGAACTGTTTTCCAAGAACGAAGCTCGAGGAAAACTGTGAGCTTTGAGGAACAGATAATGTCCAAGGTCAAATATCAGAACATGATATTTTTGTGCCAAATGTAATAATAATAATAAATAAATACATGATATTTTAAGAGGAAGCCTCCAATGTATGCTATTGTGTTTATTATTCTTCAAATTTTTTTGCAACACACGCGTTTTTGAAAATTGGGGAATATCACATGGATATTCCCCAGTTTTAGATGGGAAATATTCAGTCGCATCAGATGCGTTTAGAGAGATGCCTGCTGTTCTTTTGTTAAAAATTAGAGATGTACATTTAAGTTCATTGTAATTCTTTTTCAGTGAGACACCTGGCAACTCACCAATCATAAGCCCTGCTGGATTTCAGTTTCTTCTCATGGACACAGCCTCCCAAGTTTGGTATTTTATGCTTCAGTACCTAGAAACAGTCGAGGTAGGAGAGTGTGTAGCCTCTGCTCATGACAAGTTTGTTTCTTAAGGTATCATAATGTTAATGTTGTTGACCAGAGATACCAGTATGTAGCCTTTTATACATCATTATTATGATCATGAATTAAAGTGGGTGAATATATAAGCTACTACTTGTAAAAACTAATATAAAGTACCGGTTGATCATGTATAAACCGCTCTGACATCTCTGCCAGTCACCACTTGGTATTAAACCCTTGATTAAGCCAGATCGTTCATCCTTCTCTCTTGTTAGTTATTTTTCTCTTTTCCTCTCTCTTCCCTTTTCTTCTTTCATTTTCCCTCTCTTTTTGTCCCCTTTCCTTCCTTTCTTCCATACCTCCTTCATGCCATTTCATTTTTCTTATAGGGTCGGGACATGGATCTTGTCGAGTGCCTGTCATTTCTGTTCCAGATTAGCTTTGCAACCCTTGGCAAGGTAAGCAGTGCTTTTATAATATCTGTTTTGTTATCTTTGTCATGTCTCTCCTACCAAAAGCATGGTGCATGAGAAACACCAGTCACCTAAAGAAGATGATAAAGAGGGGATCATCTGAAAAAGAGGACTATAAGGCTTTGTCATTACATCACACAATGTGATAGACATGAGATGTTATGCCAGAAAAAGAGGACTTTGTATGATTATTTACTTGGGACCGTCCATACTTTGTCCTCTGCTATGGAACAACTGTGAATGGCACCAGAAGTGCCCTGAGTAAATAGATCATCAGAGGGAACTTATCTGGGTGCAGTATGAAGTGGAACATGCTCATGTTTCGTCATGCCACTCTTGCTTTGTGTCCACTTAATCACCTTTAATTAGTACCTGAAGCATGCTGATAAAAAAATGTGAAAGACATTTATTTGGCATATTGTCGGTCTGAAAGTCATACTCTTTTGCAGGACTATTCTACAGAAGGAATGAGTGAGTCTCAGTTAAAATTTCTTCAACATCTGAGGGAGTTTGGTCTTGTTTTTCAACGAAAGGTAAAGTGTGATCAGAGCTGAGACATAAGTGTTTTTATTTTAACTTAGTTTAACTTTGTTTTAGGAACTTTAGAATTCAGCTAGTTTTTTGTGCTACCTTTATTTAATCAACTAATTGTCTGATTATCTTTCAGCGTAAATCAAGAAGATATTATCCCACAAGATTAGCAATCAACCTGGCTTCAGCGGGAATAGGTAACAATGTTCTATCCTACCAATCACATACTTGGACAGGACAAATAATTATAGCGTAGTTAGTTTCACAGACATTAACTTGCCATCGCCGATTGTTGGTAAGTATAGTAAGAGATCAGTGACTGTCAATGTTGTTATCTGTTTCAGGGAGTACGTCTGTCACTAATACAGACGAGAAGGGATTCATAGTTGTTGAGACAAACTACCGTCTTTATGCTTACACAAGTAAGTAATAATTAAGGAACTAGATAGATGTAGTTGTAATTTATGGTACTTGTAATTAAAAAGAAAAATAACTGTCCCAGACCAACCAGGAAAGTTCCTTACCCTGCTGTTTATTGGTTTCTACCATACAGGCTCATCTCTACAGGTAGCTCTTGTAGGACTGTTTTCGGAGATACTTTGTAGGTATGTCTTCAAAATTTGCACTGTAGCGTAATAGCGTCTGTGTTGTTGAGGTAGACTTTTCAAAGTGTCTCTACTGTGCGTGTGGAGATGCCTGTTAGAGAGCGAGTAAGACTGCTTGTACATGTAGGCTCGATTACCAGCCACTGTTCGGAAAAGGCGCCCGCGCTCCTCCCCGAATTCTCGAGGAGGAACGTAGCCCGGCCAGGGCGCGAGACATTGTCGGAAATCAAGCCTTTAGTGACTGCTTGTTGATTTTTATGGTAGGGTTTGGTCTTTTTCACCCATTTTAGGTTTCCTAACCTGTGTGTGGCTGTGTTGACTAGGGACAGTGTTCAGCAGGTATATCTTTATGGCTTTCAAGTTTCAGTAACTTTTAAATAAACGTACTCAGGATTGGTTTTCTGTCATAAACCTCCACTAGTTTATTCATATTTGGCTGTATTTGGCCTATCACAGCAAATGACAGTAATTTTAAAAGCTAACTAGTAATGTAATGAGCCCGTCGGAACTTGACACTGAATACAACTTGTAGATCAACTAAAATTATCTTTTTCTCTTTTTAAAAAAGCAATGTCTTTTATTCTTTTCTCTGCAGGCGCTATCAAGTGGAATATCTGCTGAACAGGTTGGATAGGTTATCAGTTTATTCTGCGGTGTACAAATTTAAGATCAGCTTTAAAACGTTCAAGGGGAAAAACCGGGCCTGCAGTAGATTTTTCGTTTCAGCTAATCCCGAAATTCTTTACTCGTGACTTGCACTAGAGTAAAGGAACCAGAAATCTGACCTTTCCTTGCCCACCCTCTTTATCCTCTGAGACCCAGGGACCGTTTGTAGCGGGGAAGGGGCCGGAGGATAGTGCAAACGAAACGACGGAGAAAAAATCGTTCAAGACTCCAGCTTTTCTTCGTCAACTTTTGTTCTCCGTTGTTTCTACTTTCCCTCGCCCTAAGTGCGGGGCGTTTGGTCTCCAAGAATGCCCCTGCCTTTCTCTCTATTCAATTCCCGTAGCTCAGACAACATTTGACACGGTAAAAAACTTGAAGATCAAATATCAAACTCTCCATATCGTGTTTTTCAAACTTTTCGTCTTATTTCCCTTTGGGAAATTTGTTAAAAATTAACTACTTCACTTGGGAGAAATTAGAGGAGACCATCTAGTACCTGATTTTTGTACAAACGCAATTGCTCTCGTTGCAGATTCTCCATTTCTTGAGGACCAGAGCGCACCCTGAGATGCTAAAAAAGGTTTGTGTCAAATGTTTTTTCTTACCGCTACTTTACACCTCGTGCTATTTGGTTTGCAAGTTACATTCCCGAGAGATTACCTTGGCGACCATGTTGGATGACGACGATGACCGGAACAATAAAGCTAGTTACATTTCTTTAGTCATCCAACATGGCGGCGATGACGTCAGTTGCAAACTATCTGTTCCCGCAGTTTGTAATCGTTTTGTTAAACACGTACTTATAAGTAAAGGTAAATAACTCCAATTTGTTATCTCCATAGAATCCTATCATACCGCCTACAATAAGTGACCAGATCCGACTGTGGGAGCTGGAAAGGAGTAGAATGAAGTTCACTGAAGGTCGGTTATCATGCCAAGTGTAAACTTCTAGCCATAAAAACATTCAAGTCATGCGTTGCATTGATTTTCCGGTAGCGGGGAGGAGGTCTGGTAACGGGAGACAGAGGGTTCTTATTTTTGGGATAGGACGTTAAGCTCAGGGACTAAGTGAGAGCGGATGCAGGATTTTATCTCAACAGGCCATATTCGTATTCTCGGTATTGGACTGGAACTAGCTTGAAATGGAGGCTCATGGGGGGGAATATCATTAAAAAGAGATTAGAGTCATTTGCATTTGAAAAGACTCCCCGCATTAGCCTCAGTTGCACGCTAGTTCCAGTCCAATACCGAGGATACGAACATGGTCTACTGATACACAGCTTCATCGAAGAACATGGTATATAATTGTCTTGCCTCACTCGGTAACGGAAAGGTTTTCTCGTGGCTATCATAGCAATCACATCCTGACCAATCAGAGCGCACTCAAACGGTGAAATGAACCTATAATATGAACCGATAAAACCTTTCAAGATGCTCCCAAGGTACTACTGTTTTTTCGTCGTTTGAAAATAGTTAGTCTCCTCTACTAACTATGGTTTGAATGAGGCCATACCGTGTTACGTCTTTTCTTTGTGCACTTAAGATAAGATAAGATAAGAACTTTATTAACGTGTCGAAATCGCTAGCATACAATGTTTACTAATTGGGGACACCTAACTACGATTACTTATCTAATAATTAATAAAATATGAAATACATGTACGTATGTAAGTGATTTAAAATATAGATATAAAACAACCAATGAGTCATGCAGTAAGATCAAGTGTTAGTTGTTACATAAAGAACAGTCTCTAGAAGTACTGTCCAGCAGGCTTGTGAAATCAACCAATTTGATGCGCTTTTTAAAAGTGTGCAATGATTCAGAAGATCGAATAGATTTGTCGAGTTTGGACTAAATGACAGGGCCTAAATAAGTCAGGCTATGTTTGCCATGAGCAACAGTCCGAAATCTGGGTATGGTGAAATCAGAATTTCTAAGGTGATACTGAGAATTGGTAACAACAAATAATTCCACAATGTAAGGAGGCGCCAGACCATTTTTGACTTTATACATTATAGTTGCAATGGCTTGCAATCGTCGCGTATGAAGTGTTGGTAGTTTCGCTCTTTGCAAGAGTTCCTCATACGTCGATTTATTGTCACAATAAACAGCTCATAGTGCTGTCGTTCAAGCAGTCGCTGGTTCTCTAGAAAGTTTGACAAATATCGTGTATATTTAGTTTAGAGGATCCTTAGTCAATATATTACTCTGTTTTGATGTACATTCCTTTTAATGAGTGTTATCTTTTTCATCGCCATATGACAACGATTGATTCCTTGGAATATTGAAACCAGATATTTACTTTTATTTAATCAAGTTTGATGGGCCCACATGTATAGCCACCCGAAACCAATCCGAGAGCGATTTAGAAAGTAACGAGAGTGGTTACTTTCGAAACTTTAAGGTGTAACTTTTCGCAGCTCAAGAATCAGAAAGGCTTCGTGCCAAACTTATATGTAAACACCCTTAGGCTTACAGGCGAGCAAAATGACGCTAATTTCAATATTTCCTTCTCCCAGAAAGTTCGAAGTGAAAATATTCTTACTGTGCCAATATTTACTGCTGGAAGTACGCCTATCAAGATTGATTAAATTCAATTAATATTCTTGAGGATGTTGTTATTCTCATCCAATATGGAACGTGCGGAATCTTCAAGAACTTCACATCCAGTAAAACAAAATGGATATTGCGCTACCTTTATCGAGTGTCTTTTCGAGTTTAATTTTAAAGTTAAACCTACGCAACCAATACTAGTATAAGAGTAGTGGTCAGGCTTTGTCTATTTTTGTATTGAGAACAAGAGCGAAAAAATGCATTTTTATTAGTGGTAATCTCGAACAGTGACGTTAAAGTACATTCCAATGACATACCCTAAGACACAGCTACAGACAACAGTATACAAATATCTGCCGCTGCATAGGGTTGAGATTTTCAGACCTTTCTGGTGTACTGCTTGGCAGGCGAATGCCAAGCATGTAAATGCTATTTAAGAAAAAAACTCTTGATATGTTTCTTAGCTTGTTTCAGTTTATTAAAATGAAGTAAAGCCACTAGGAGTGTGTTTATCCACCCGCCCCGGATGGGATGGGTGAAAAGAGGCAGTGAGAGAAAATGTCTTCCACAAGAACACTGAATAACCCGGCGAAGAATTCTAATGGCTGCACTGGTTTTATTCCTTAGGTGTTCTATATAATCAGTTTCTCTCGCAAGCAGACTTTGAAACATTAAAGAAGTATGCCGAGGTAAAGTCACTTGTTTTCCTTTGTTTTGTTTTGTTTTTTCTTTTTTTATCAGCTGCATGTATATTAGTTGATGAAGCCATAACAGTTATGTGTACCTCTCAGATGCCTACGCTCCAAGTGTCGTTTTTTGGCACCCTTCAAGAACAATAGCCTCCCATACCCAGACGCTTTTTAGGCACGTCACGCGCACGCAAGCTTTCGTGACGAGCCAAAAAACCTGTCTGGGTAGAAGCTTCAAGAACACTAGAACATGCTAGAACTGAACACTTTTTTTAATTGCACTCTCTACTCAAGTAGGGCGAAAGAACAATCCGTCGCGTTTGTCTGCAAGTTGTCTGCTATTCCGTGAAACCGTAAGCTTGGTTTTCTTGGAAACGGGGTTCTTTTCCATGCTCCTTGAGGTCTGGCAAAACCTAAGATAGCGTATGTTTTAATTACGATGTTAGTGGCACAATGTGGGAATTTGCCGAAAACATATTTATAACCACAGGATTTTTGTGACTGAATTGCCTCTTGCAGCACTTCATGACCATATTTTACTCAGCAGACTTTACTGAAACTGCCTTCAAGTGTTATATATCACACATGTTTTTTCATGTTTTAGGATCTTGGTGTTCTAATGTGGGCCAATTCGTCAAAGAGAGTTATTGTCGTCAGCCGCTCAGGCCATGACGATGTTAAACGGTTTTGGAAAAGACAGAAACAAAACACGTGACACACGCTGCTAGTCCCAGACTCGACCATTTCCACGTGACGAGCACGTAAACTACGACAAACACACAGGATCTAACACTTGCGAGTTTGCGGGTTTGGCACTTTGGATAGAAGTCAAAGAGAACTGACTCGTGACACCGAAATGAACAGATGAGGCGGTTTACGGACAAATCATTCTACGCTTTCTAACACCCTCATGCCAAAAAAGGAGATATATTTTATATTTATTTTGTATCATATTAGTAATGCCGTTAAAAGTTGTACATACTTGTGACCTTATAA